CGCAGAAGAAGTCGTAGTTACCGTTTCCGGGTCAGCCCAGAGCCGCAGCGCTAGCGGCCGTTGTTAGCTGCTTGGTTAGCACCATGGCGGCAGTACGCAGCTTGCGGGTCTCGGTGAAATCAGACAGCGGCTCCGACCGCTCGGACTCCGACTCCGAGTCAGATAGAGATGCCCGCGAAGCCGAGCCGATGGAGGTGGAGGAGGGAGAGCTGGAGCCCGAGGACATCTCCGTTAACCGCTCTCTGAAGGAGCTGCTGCCGGTAAGCCCGGACTAGGCCCCGGCACTCCGGGGACTGGCGTCTCCGTCGCCCGGCAGATCCGCAGGAAGTGTCGGCTAGCGGTTACTTGAACTCCCGGCTCTCTCCCCGGGAGTCAGGCGTCCACCCCGTGCTGTGGGGGCTGCCGATGAGCGGCGGGGGCCTCGCGTTAACCGGGGCTGGTTTATGTTTTCGACATGTTTGCGGGGTTCGTGTTTATTTCAGTCACTTGTTGCTGTGTTCACGTGCTGTTTGTGTGGAGCGCACGTCCCACCAAACTCTACTTAAAAAACATCGAATTTAAGATGTTTACGTGTAAAAGAAAGCAGAGAGCGCAGAGTGCTCAACTATTTCAGCAGGTATGCGCATACCGAACTGTTCTGCTTTCTTCTAAGCGTGAACCTGGATTTCATTAGTCTTCCTTTGTTATTTACTCTTCCTGCTGGTATAGACTGGCCCTGCCACCAAACCTCAGCTAAAACTAGGAAGTTTAACGTTTTTACGAGCAGAAAAATGTAAAACGGGGAGAGTTATTCTATTTGAATACACGTGCACTTAGTAGTTATTATACCTTCACGGGTGTCTCCTCCCCCGCCAGCACACAGACGGTATCCAGAGCAGTTTAACAGCTGGAGAAATGAAAGTTTTCTTCTTGTGTCGCGTTAGAGTCGCTCTGGAGGCCTGTGTGGCTGCAGCTTCATACAGCCTGTGTTTCTCATGTGTTTACAGTCACTTTGTAATGTTGCTGAGGCAAACCAACAGAAATGGCTCAAAGGGAAAGTGAAACCGTGGCCTCCACTGCTGTCTGTCTGTTTCACAGGACACCAGTCGGCGGTATGAGAACAAGGCCGGAGCCTTCATCACTGGAATCGACGTGAACTCTAAGGTAAACCTCAGCGTGTGTGGCCGGGTGTGTTTCTCACTGCGGGTGATATTAGTGAAGCACATGCAAGAGTCTGAGCGCCTGTAGGGTCAGGACGCGTGTGTGGGACCTTTCCAAAGGTCACCATGACCTGATGATGTCAGGTAAAGAGTGGTAGCTGAGTGGGAAGCTCAGGGTTCAAACTCCTCTGATTACTCGAGTTACTTCCTGTTTTCTTCCTCATCAGGAGGCGATCGAAAGGAAAGAGAAGCGAGCGCAGCGTTTCCATTTTCACGGGGAAGAGAAGGTCGGCCAGCGGAACGTTTTCCTGGATAAAGACGCTATGAAAAAAAGTACGTGTCCTCTGTGACTGTCAGCAGGCAGAGACGAGCTTCTCCTGATCGGGAGCTAGTTTAACATGTCGCCGTCTTCTTCTTCTGTGGTGCCCAGCCATCCCCCAGCTGCGCATGGAGGCGATCCATGTGATGGGCGTGGACGACATGAGCACGCAGGACGTCTTCGGGTACTTTAAAGAGTATCCTCCGGCTCACATCGAGTGGATCGACGACACTTCCTGTGAGTACGGCGTGCAGACAGAAGGGGCGGGGCATGTGAGCCAGCCAATCACAGCTCAGGTCAAACCCTGTTCTCACCACCTGATGGTTTCCTAGGTAACGTGGTATGGCTAGATGACGACACCCCCATTCGAGCGCTCATCAACACAAGCCGGATGCCCGACTCGGAGACTGTTACCACGGAGACGGGGGGCTCCAGCCAGCCGGACGAGCAGAGCAAAGGTGAGGGCGAGCACTGTAGGGGAAACCAGCAGAAGCCGCAGGGCATTGTGGGTAAATGTTACGATGTCGCAGGTCGGCGAGGTCAAGG